AAAGGTGGCCTGTAGCAACAGAAAGACAGAGAGTGAAAGAGAGTCCATATCAAAGAAAGCTCACAGAGAAGGTCAGCCAGGCCTCTTCCTGTCAAATTTAAACAACAAAAATGTTCCTAGTTTCTTCATTTAGTAGATATTACATACATTCATCACTGAATTTAGGTGGGTTGAACAAATACAATATAAGAAGCAGAGAACTCAATTTGGCTATTCCCAATATTTCTGGTGCATGTTTAAATGTATCAGTACATATTATATACATTCATCTGTACTGAAACTGACCCAGAGACGAGACTGCCCCCACTGAAGGTCCAGCTAATGAATAATGAAATGAAATACTAGTAGTGCAAAGACTGCACTGTTATGTAGGTCCAGTGTTGCCACCCAGCATCTGAAACTCCTGTCCCTTGCTATTTCGGAGATGACTGACAACAGTTCCCCACAGAACACACTGCACAGAGTTTTCCATGTTTTAATATTTCATCGCACTGAGCAGGAGGTGAACAAATAGATGCATTATGGATGTAAGTGGTGTATGTATTGTGCTTTCTGTATGTAGAACAATGTTTAGATCACGTTATTCCCTCCAGTTTGAGTTCCGGCCCCCTGCTCACCAAGCCCCACCTCTCCCAAACACTACAATATACTCAGTTACCAGTTTATAACCAATGTGCAGCCTGATGCAGCCTAATACAACAAAATATCATGTTTTATTGTAGTTGACTTCCGACCTCTCGTGTATGCAAATGTGAGTGAACAAAAACATCAGAAAGACCTTTAATCTGATAGAGACAGAGAGTACATGTAGATGTAGTGTAGTGTAGACGATGAAGGTGAAGGGAAGAAAGGCAGTGAGGTTGTTCTGATGGTAGGATGAGGAGAGAATGTGAGGGGCACCCTGAAGACTATTTACAGATGACCTGGGACTATGTCTTATTCATTTGTTTTTTTCTCTGTGATACAGTAGCCCTCTCGCTGTGTAGAAGCCAGAAAGGAAAAGGTCTGTTTTCTACCTTTCTCTTCAACCCAGGGCATAATAAAGACCTTAACAACCATGAAGAAATTACTGTAATTTCTCTTAATGTTCTCTCTCAAGTAATTATGCAATCTGTTGAGAGAAGTGGGCTAAAATGTGCTTACGTTTCAGACTGGCTAAAGCACACCCAGTATCACAATTTGATCTTTAAAGTAATATTAAATATTGTATGAGTTCATCATACATCAGTTCATTACCGACTACTCTAATAACCTCTACAGAGGCAAATGTTAAGTTGTTGATTCAGTGATTCGTATAAGAGTTTGAATGGATATAAGAGGGGAAAGGGGGGGCAACCCGTCCCCTGAACAGTGGGGGAAGTAAAAACAGAACAAAACATGAAAGGTGAAAAATTGCGGGAGATAAAACAGACCAAAGGGATTACAACTGATATTAGCTATGTGATGGATTGAAGGCTACTGTTGGTCGATCCGCCCACCACTTTGGTCCCGGCCAAAATATCTCAACAAATGTTAAAGGGATTGGCACAAAATTTTGCATGTACATTCATGGTCCGCAGACAATGTATCCTTGTGACTTTGTTGACATTTCCTCCAGCTCCACAATAAGGCTGACATTTTGGGGTTTGGGGTGAAATGTTACAACAGCTGTTGGATAGATGGGCCATGCCCATGTCCCCCTCAGGTGGTATAAATTAAATTTACTTTAATTTGACTAATTAACAATAATACATTTTCCACCTAAAAGCAAAGCCGCTGACTGTTTTAAGTACACCTTTAAATGTTTTTTTCATATACCTGTTAACGTATAAGGTTTCTCAGGCTTTTCCCTGTTGCATAATATCAGCACAAAAATAACCTGCCAAGATGACAGGTTGGCTGATAAAATTTTCATAAACGTTATCTGATATAAAGTTATTTTTAGAAAATTGTTGATTTTGCTCTACAACATCATTCCCATACTTCTAGAAAGTTCAGTCATTTGTTGTGTGTAAAGCATTTTGTAACAATGGTTTTGAAAATGTTGAAAAATATATTTTAATATTATTACTACATGTTCATCACACATTCAGCACCATTTCACATGTGATAAATTCACATGGTATAGGCACGCATAGTTTTCACATATTTCACATGTAAAGTGTAAAACATTGCATGTGCACTGGTCATTTTCACATGTCATCATATTTGAAATTCACACATTTTAAATGTACATATAGGCACATGTGGGTTTTCAGGATTACACATGAAATACAATATTTCCCCATGAGAATTTAAGGCATTCAGTTTGCTT